TGGCTTTTCCTCGTCCCATAATACTGAGCCAGCAGTACCTGATCCTTAGCCTTCCTTGTGCCAGAGGGTGGAAATTAGGGAGGTATAGGGATAGTAATTAAAGACAGAGATCCTTTTGAGCTTTGATAGTGAAGATTTTTAATTATAGTGAAACATCATTTTTCAGGCTACTAATGATTGCCTTTGATAAAGATCTTAAGCAGTTTTTATTTAAATAGTATTCTTCGTCTTAATAACATTTCTCTTTAGTTCAGTTCTATCAAATGCCAGTGCCACTGCTCCATAGTAAGCTAGTCTGGGAGACTTATGATGGTCCGAGTCTTGTTTTTAGCTGTGATTTCCATTTTGTGTTTAGAGCCTCATGAGTGTTTAGAGCCTCATACTTTTGTGTTTAGAGCCTCATACTTCAGGTTTTAAAACCTCTGTTGTACCTGTTAGTCACAAATTATCTGAGTTCCTGAGCTGAGTAAAATCAGTCACGAATGAAAGAATGGTTGTGGCCTTTAAGATGGAAGAAGAATTTGATATTTTATTTAGCAGGTACTGAAAGTTAAACACTTGTGTGCAGTTCTCTGTCTTTAAATTGGACTTTTTAGAAGTGTGGCTATGAGTCTCTCATAGTATTCATGAGTCTTCAAGATGTTCTAGAACTTGACTGTATTTTAATCCTGGCATATCTTCTCTGAATGATAAATTATTCATCTAAACTGTATGTTTTAAGTGGGGAGATACCCCGTGCCCACTAAGGGGTGAGGCTTGATTTAGGGTGCCCGTTGAAAAATGTCTACTCAGGAGGGTGATTACAAAAAACATTTGAAAAGGTTTTCTTGGTAGGTGATATGAAGGGAAAAAAAGGTTGGGAAATGCTGATCTGTAGTCTGTAGAAGATTAACAATACGTGTAATTGAATTTGATCTTATATTGTGCTGCTAATTGCAAGATACTATGTTTGAAACCTACTCTAAGGGAAGCCGAGGCGTTCTCCTCCTGTAGAGATTCCTAGTCTCAGAAACCCCTAGGGGTAGTTCTCCCCTGTCTGGTAGGGTTGCTGTGGGTGGGAATTGACTGCACAAAGCGAGTGTTTGACTGGGCATAACCCAGCATAATGGAGTTTGTGGTCATTGCTGAAAGAGATCTAGTACGTGTGTATGGATGTGCTTCATTTAATTGTTAAGAGTATGAGAGGTATAGAATGTGGATTCATGAGTGTTTTGTAGAAAGCACATACAAATAACAAGCTAAAGTTAGGGCATTGTGACAATTACAAATCGTCTAGCCTTAATTAACCCTTTAATGTAAATACATGTTTCTGTATTTGTGTGTGTGTTTGTCTTAAAATTTATGGCTTCTTTTCCATCCAA